CTCTCTCTCTCTCTCTCTCTCTCTGTCACACACACACACACACACACACACACACACACACGGATCCACACACACTCATATCCAATTCACATTGATTTTCTCAGGTCTAACCAAGATAGGACATGAACCACGTCACACACTAAGTAGGGAAGAGAAGAGAAGTAAGAGGGTTAGAGAGTAGACTCACTGAATCTTAACCAAGAATTCTGGAAGTCTGACCAGTATCCCCACAGAAAATTCCACCTGGACTTAGGATCCAGCGTTATCAATTACTTAAAACGCACAAGTACACTGATGAAAAATCTGCTCTGCATGACCACTCACCCTCCACCCGACTGAAGTTATCTTCTGTCTGTCTCAGTCATTCTACATCCTGGACAGACATCTGGAGAGCCACCCGCAGTGTTTAAGCTACCAACACTAGTGAGGCAGCTCAGCAGATCAGCTTGAGGAATGGGGCATAAAATCATCTAAACACAGCCTTGCTGGCCACCTGTAAGGCTATGGCCGACTTCCTTGGGGCACTGTCATTCACCTGTATGCCTGCAAATACCATCCATAACTCCAGCTCCATTCTGGAAAAAGTATTAACATCACGATGTACTGTTATGCTTGGTGAAATGTGTAGAAGCATAAAATAGTAACAAAGACAAAGCTAGTAGCAAGAGTTCCTAGGGACATGATCTAAAATATGTTTTGTTCTCATTTATATACTCAAAGTTGTTGCTTCCTTGCTCATCTATTTCTCCCATTCAGATATGGATAAATACATATTTGGAAGGCCAAAAATTCATTGAAGCTTAAATTTTAGTAGATATCATTAGAGAAAAAATTAAACAGCACAAACAAATTTTTCTGATTGAAAAGGGATGATAGCAAAATACAAATTAATCTAGTTATTTAATTAATGTGGTTATTAATGTATTTAATATAGCAGACATTAGATTTTAGGGGGAAGATATAAAAAAAAAAGAATTGTAATCCTAAAACTGGAGAACAATACATATTCTGTACAGGGAGGTTATAAGAGAAAATATTTGGTTTGTATTATGTAATATCTTCATGTTTTACCTCAAACTTATAGAAGTGATTATTTAAATTTAAAGGTGTCCCCTTTGTATGATAATGGTGGTAATTTTAAAATTACTCTTTTGACATCTCTGCAGAAGCTGCTCAGTGAAAAAGGCAGAGTACTAACTAGGAAATAAATTTGTTGTACAGCTACTTAAAAGAAAATATTATTCTCTAGTAATTTATTTTTCCTCTATCCAGTTTGGTTATTCTCATAGCAATCACAGATCACAGAATGTGGGTGTTTTACCTCAACAGTACAATCTTGGAATTGTTTACTCAAGGTTGACTACTTCTGAAAATAACATATGTTAATTATGTTTTCTCTAATTCTACTTTATTTTAATTTGACCTCATAAAGGATGAGGAAATCACATTTGTGTTGTCTAATAAGATAATAGGCAATTATTAGCATGTGATAATATCCTCTGAATTAGGAGAGTTACACAGTCACTTCATGACATGAATTCTTTGTCACATTTAATAGAGGTGGACACATAACAGCTAGGTAGGAAAAATAAGTTCTCTGGTTGCATAGTCGAGCTAGGCAGCTATAATTAACAAAAATTTACTGCATGTTATCAGACGGGTAGAAGAGAGATCGAATGTCCTCATCACAAAGAAATGATTAAGTTTTGTAACAATGAATATGCTAATTACCCTGATTTGATCATCACACATTGTATACAGGTATTGATATTCAACTCCGTACCTCGCAAACAATACACTTCAATAAAAAATATATACACAGGTGAAAGAGCAACAGTGCCCCCACCTCCTTGGTGCAGCACGTGGGCAGCACACTGCAGGCTGACTTACATGGTACACATATGCAAAAAGGAAGCCCCTGCCAACTTACAGGTCTCCCTTTTGGGCCTCGCTCTCCTCTTGGTCCTTGTGATCCTGGAGGTCCCTAAAACAAAAAAATGATGATTATGCCTGCAAAACATTTATACTTTAGATGCTTTTGTTTTAAAGGTTTGCTTGATAAAAGAAAATCGGAAAACAGAAATCATGCTTCTTAATTCAGTTCAGTTGAATACCACAGAGAATAAATCCACATGCATTTAAAATTTCTGTATACATAGAAATATTTATTTTAGAGTTGAAGCACGAAGTTCTGAAAAGAATTAGGTGCCACATAAGAGCATCATGGAGCTCTGAATAGTAGTGTGTCACTAGTAGTGGCAAATTTTTAAGGATAATTTTTTCTGTCTTCTCCCAGGTAAAGCCTTTGCCACAAAATTCTGGGCACAAAAACACGCAGTTCGGATTTGGAGAACGACTTAAATGTGCAGCCCCCAAATGATCAATTATCCAAGGGAATGCATGAGTTCAGATTGGTACATGATACCCCATGTTTGTCACTGTTCAAGTTGCTGATGAAAGCAATGGAAAGAAAAGCCTCTTAGCCTACTCCTGCTTTATGTATGTGCAAGCATCATTGTGTGGTTTTTTTTTCACTTGATTTAGAATATTGTGTCCTTTCCATTGTATATCTAAAACCCACCTATGATTTCCAAATCATAATTGAAATTATTTCTCCCTTAAAATAACAAATGACTATTATATTTCAAAAGTGGTGCTATTGTGCTGATATCTGAAATTATCCTCCCCCCCCCTCCGAAATAGCAATTGCCAGGTGGTTTTTATTTCTCTTCAAAAAAGAATTTCAATTGAGTTATGAAGATTAGATTTTGCATTTCCTCAATGCAACATACAGCATTATCTAAAAGCAAAAACTTCAGAAGGACTAGAGTAGGTCTGTAAAAGGTGTACTGGTATTTTACTTAAGTTGATTGGATGTGTTTTAAAATTTACATAAAATGTGTGTGTGTGTTTATTATCCATATAGTTACCTATAAATGCTGCTGATAATCCAAAGCTGAAATAATTAGTGTTTTATACTAAACCTATGCTATTCTGATAAATAATTTCTCAAATTCCACTGCACCATGATTTAATTTTATTAAACAGATAAAGGTAGTCCGCCCTTAATCATGGTGAAACAACAGACAAGCATGCTCTAATTTCAATGAACAAGGTCAATCTAAAATTAACAATAGATTGTTTTTGCCTTTTACATAACCAATAGCAGCACTAACACATGAGGAACCATAAGGATCATCAATTTCAGAATGAAATGGTCCTCAATGTGTCACTCATTGCTGCAAAGGAATGCCTAAATTTGAAGATATTTCAAAACAAAATGTTTCAAGAAAAAGAGCTTCGTTGTTTACATTCTATTGTCTTCTCATGGATATATCTGTAAAGATATTCAGTATCTCAAAAAACACTATAGTACCACAAATATTGTAGGAAACTACTTACTGCAGGTCCTGGACGACCACGAATGCCTGTTACCTAAACAATAAACAAGATAATCTGTAAAGTTTCTACAGAGATTCAGAGAAGTCACTAGTCAAACAAACAAGAATAACAACAAAAGTTCCAATGATTTTTTAAAAAACAAAAAAATGTTGTCAATCGGATGTTGTCAATTGATGTTTATTTCCTCCTTATTATCTAATTTGAATTGTAATATAGGGAGGCAGGACTGGCGTGGTAATTAAGAGAACCAACACTGGAGCCAAGAAGCCTGGATTCAAATCCTGCCACTACCTCTTACCAGTTGTGTGACCTTGAATTAATTATTTATTCTCTCTGTGTTTAAGTTTCTTTTTCATGGAACATTAAATGGAAACTTAAATATGAAATGGTGGTGATTATTATGAAATTATCTCCCTCACAGAGTTGTCAAGATAGACAGATATTTATAAATCACTTAGCAACTAACACAGTAAATACACATAAGTGTTTTTAATTGAAAGAAAATAATACAAATGGTTTACTTTTTAAATAATCTTTGTTAAAAAAACAAGCATATTTGAAGGCAAAGCGAAACTGTAAACACTTAAACACTGTCACATAAATAAACCTGCATATACTTTTGTCTTGACAGACTGATGATAACTCCTTTAATGAATGGTGGTTGAAAAACTTTCATCATATTTAATAATATATTTTTTGATCATTTAGAAGTCTGAGGAAGTTTTTAGTATCCTTAAGCAATACAGAATTCCAATCAGGATATTTGGACGACATATTTCCAAAAGTGTGTAACATAAAACTACTATACTAATACTAATGTTACCTATCACTCTATACCCACATACAATATATTTAATTTTGAAAAACCATGGTTTTCTATCTTTTAGTCATGGGACTATAAAATCAGGAGTACAAAATATTAAATATCCTATTAAATAATTGCTCGATTGTGGTTTGCTTGTGTTATACTAAAAACTTGTTTATAAAATAACTAATTTCTTTTTTTGAGAGTATATATATATATATATAAGTACTAATATACAACTATAGCGAAGTTCATTAAAGGTAGATGAAAACCATGTATATCCATATACTTACAACAGGCACTAATCCTGGTTCACCTTTTTGTCCCTATGAAATTAAAAAAAAAAATTCAATTAGCAAAATGTAATGGCTTGTTGGGCCTGAACATGTCACACTAGAATATGCCGTGTAAACCCTGGGAATTTCTATGTAAGAAATGTAAAAAATGAGAAAGTTAATCCATTTTTAGGATATTTAGCTAGAAATTATTTATAAAAAAATTACTACTAATTTGAAAGACATGAAAAAAAATCAATCCAGTGTAGGAAATGTGTAAAGCTATTTTTCGTCAGTTTTTACAGAGATCAAATCAAAAGAGTTAACTAGAGCAAGAAAAAGTTGTGATGGAAAGAGGTAAAGATAAGACACCATAGGAAAAACTACCCAGACTTAAAACACAAAAGGAAGTCTGGAAATTTTTATATATTTTAATTTTCATACTCTTATTACATGACAGATAGTTTACAGTAACTTATCAGACACTATTCCTGAGCTGCTTGCCACCCTTTTTTTTAGAGCTTATGGAAGAATATGAAAAATAATAAGTTAAATGTGCTCATCTTAAAAAAAGATGTAATAATTTTAGCCAGTTAATTCTCAATATCTAACAAAAATATAAAAAAAAAATCAGTTGCATAGGAAAATCAAAAATAGCACAAGAAACTATCATAGCTTAAAGCAAATAAAGTCAGGTCAGTTTCTTCATAATATTTATAATAGATGTAGCAAATATAATAGATGTAGATGGAATTTATTTTGATTTTAGAACTTCAGATTCTCACATTTTGTATTCTCATTGCATAATATCAGGTACACAGGTTAAATAATATTGGATGAATTGTGGAAATATACTTTATTTTATTATATATTAATTTATATTTTTTATTTCAGTATTTATCGATCAACAGATTTTGGTCTCCTCAAGGTCATGATTGCGTCTTTATCTACTTTATATCCTCAGTGTGTTGCATAAAAGTTCTCAGTAAATTCTTCTTGAGTATATCTTCTTGAGTATATTATGTTAATAATATGAAATAATGTTTTTCACTAGGCAATTGCAAAGATGGTATGAATTGAACAATTACATCCAAAATGGAGGAAAATAAGGGGGATGAGTTTTAGTTTATTTAATTTCTTCTTTCACATACATTACTCTTTTGTCTGATAATAATAATAATAATAATATGTGTTCATAGTAGGGAATATTGAAAATAGAGGAAATATACAGAAGAAACTAAATATCCTACTCAACACCCAGGAGATAACCGCGGTTAACATTCTGGCCTTCCTAGTTTTCCAAATCGCTCGTTGTTTTACTCTTAAATTTTATTTTCATTTTTGAATTGAAAACTAACCTTACGATGAATACCCTTATGTTTATGTGGCACCTCTGACTGATACCTTATGATATGTTTTTAGAAGTTAAATTTGTGGATTAAAGATCATACATATTTTTAAGGTTTTTGATCTAGATCACCAAATTTTACTCCCAAAAGGCGCAATCTAAGTGTATCCTTACAATGGTATTTGATACCTGGCAAGATTTTGTAAAGTGAAAAATTTTAAAATATTTTATAATCTTGATAATCATATGATGGACTCAACGGCAAAACTAATTGCCTAACATCTGCCATGAAAACTGGAGTCACTGCCCATTTCCACTCTTTTCATCCCTGTGCCCATCCCGTTTGGGTGAGATTGAAGCAAATGCCATAATTTTCAAGATAACCAGAAAACTAAGAGCACTCCCAGGGGACAAAGAACTCTCTCCGCTCAGGAGGATTACCCATGTCCAGATGACACATGGCCAAGCTGGCTGGCTGTGCTAGGTCATGGCTATATCCCACCACTGTCTTCTTGAGCGTAAAGATTGTCTCCAGGATTAGATTTTACGCTTCCTGAAGGTGGGGGAGGGGAGAGAGGGGAAGCAATGGGTGTTTGGTGAAATGTTTAGTTAATTCTGGATCTTTACTTCCCAACCAATGGAAGAGGGACCACATACCCACTGAAGTAAAACCGACATTCTTTATTCCTTCCTTCCTCCCTTCCTCTTGTCCTGCCTTCTTTTCTTCCATCAAATGTGTATTGTGCTTCTAATATATGTAAAGTGTATACTTAGCACAGTGGCAAGTGCAAAGAATACAATGGTCTTTCAGGCAGAAACAGGTCTTTCTTATATAAAGAAAAATTAACCATAAAGTGAATAGAATAGGGGCATCTGAAATCTATAAGCACAATAACTGAATTGTGCTTATACATTTGTCACAAGATATTTATATGGTATTTTGCACTTCACAAAAGGCTTACAAACATTTCAGTGTCCAGTTCTGTGTGGATAGCATTTGAAAGAATTCTGTTTATGAAAAAGAAACTCTGCAAAGTGAAACTTACCTTTCTTCCTCTACCTATAAAAAGAAAAGAATAAGTATGTTATTTCATGAAGAAACAATTACTGAGAATCTGCTAAATATTTACTTTCAGTAACAAGGTTCTTGTGGAATTAGAATTAAACAGATTACTTTATTACCAGTAAGCAGAACTCAAAAGTTGTTTGGGATCAATATTTCCATAAAAGGCAATGTAATGCATCCCTTTGAAAAATTCTGACGTGACGTCAATATTCTTCATAACCTTTATATAGCATTTAAAGTTCATTAAATTGTTAGAGTGCTGTGCTATAACACCAAAGTCAATGATTCAGATCCCCATACCGCCCAGCTGATAAAAAATAAATAAAGTTCATTAAATTATAAAATTAGCTATTAAAGTTATAATAAATTATTTTTAATCAATATTCTCTTTTTATTTTTTATACTTTTTATGAGTAAGGCTTTTCATTCGTATGGTTCAAAAGCAAAAATGCATTAAAGGTATACAATTATACAGTGAAAAACCTCATTTCATCCTGTTCCCTTTTCCCTCTTTTCGTCCCCGCACCCCTACACATAAGGCAACTATTATTGGTTTCTTTCATATTGTTCTCAAATTTCTATTTTTGTATTGTTCTTCATTTATCTGTGTATCTTATAGATCTTTAAATCTTAGTGATCTTTGCCTATTGGCATGTAATTTCCTTATAGCTTTTTATAAAAATTTTTATAGAATTCCATTGTGTGAATCTGTCACACTCTAACCAACCTTCACCTTTCCCCCTAATGAAAATCTGGATTGTTTCTAGTCTTTTGCTTTTACTAGGATATAATTTATCACTCAACCAACACCCTTATAAGAATGAAAGTGAGGGCTATGGTTTATTGTCAAGGAAAATGGTGTAATGTGGGGTTGTCCTGGGCAAACCGAGATGAATGATCATGCTAGCTATAACAAATAATATTGTAACAAATAATGGTTACATATATGACAACATGAAAGTATACTTATAGGATGATTGCCCAATACTGTTTTTGAGTAAAAGAGTACAGGGATTTTTAATCTGATGTATATGACCAATATCCCTCCATAGAGGTTATACCACTTTATAATTTCATAATCAATGTTCATATTTCCCCACAGGCAATACACAGTGATACTAAATGTGTTATCAAATATTTTAATTTTAGCTAATCTGATAGGTGAAACATAATAGGCCAGTGTAGTTTTTTTTGTTTGTTTTTTTGTTGTTGTTGTTGTTGTTTTTCCTTTTTGTCTTTTTCCGTGTCCGGCAACGGATCGCAACCCTCAGTGTCGCCCCCGTACCGGACCGGGACCGGCAAAGGGATCGCAACCCTTGGTGTTGCTCCCACGCCTCGCTCAGCCAGTGAGCGGGAACCGGTCTGTATGTGGGATCCGAACCCTCGGCGGGAGCGCCACCACGCTCCCAAGCAGTGCACTATAGCAGTGCGCCACCAGGCCGGCCCTAGGCCAGTGTAGTTTTAATTCACATTTATTTTAATTCACACTATCATATGTTGAGAAACTATTTGTACTTTCTTTTTAAAAAATTATGAATTAATTTCCTTTGCCTATATTTTGATTGGGTCATTGACTTTTTAAATTATATCCAGGGTCTTTTTATATGTAAAGGATATCAATTATTTGTGGATTGAGTTGCAATTTTTTTTTTACTTTGCTCATGTTTTGTGTTATGCAAATGTTTATTATTTCTATGCATTTTTATGGCTTCTGGACTTTGAGTCAAAATTAACATAGGAAGATTTTAGGACTATTAATAAATTTTCCTGTTTTATCTTTAAAACCATTATGACTTAATTTTTATCATCTGAATCATTGCTTTACTTGGAATTTGCCTCATTCAGCTACAGTTTTTTCCAGGTGACTCCCCAGCCATTCCACTCTCCACTGCTAATGTCGTCTTTATCATATTCAAACTGACATGTATATTTGGATCTATTTCAAGACTTTTTATTTTATTCCACTGAGCTCTATCTAGTCATGTACCTAGACCACACTTTTTTAAATAAGTCATTTTAATATGTCTTGTAGGGCTAGTCATCACTTATTTGCTCTTTTTTCTAAGGATTTACCCGACTATCCTTTCTGGTTTATTCTATGTAAATTTTGATTTACAACACATCAGGCTCTAAAAAAAAAAGTATGGTATGTTTTTATTAGATCATGTTAAAATTAATTAACTAATGGAGAATTAATGCATTTTTAATGTTTACTCTTCCTAACCAAGAACATAATAGCATATTTTAATTTTTTTAAGTTTTCATTTGAATTAGTAGTATGTTTTCTTCAGATGGATCTTGTATATTTCATACTAAGTTAAATGTGCAAGCTAAATGTAAAAGTTAAGTCTATCCTCAGGCATTTGTTGTTATATAAATGAGGCATTTTAATTCCCATTATTTGTTATATGATGTAATTTTTTAGACATAGTAACTCAATTTCTGCTTGTTAATTTTGCACTGCACTGCCTTACTAAATTCTTTTATTTTGTAGTAATTTTTTTGCTCAATTTCCTTAGGTTTCGTAAACACACAATTATATTTACTGCAAATGGATAGTTTTAGCTCTTTTCTAATTTCTAAATCTCTGATTTCTTTTTCATATCTAATTGTTTGTTCAGGCACATTGAGTGCTATTAAATGATAGTGGTAGTCACAGATATTCATGTTCTATCCCCGAGTTTAGAGGAAATGCTTCTAGTATTAAACTTAATGAAGCTTTTAAGGTTAAATGTAAGTATTTTATTATGTTAATAGAATGTCCATTTATTACCACATTACTATTTTTATCAAGAATATTTATAGATCTTTGTCAAATACCTTTACTTCAATTTTTGGGAAATGTATACACTTTCTCTTCATAGAACTACTAAGATAATTACTTATATTAATAGGGGTTGTTTTTTGTTTTTTTTTTGCATCTTCATAGAACTACTAAGATAATTACTTATATTAATAGGGGTTGTTTTTTGTTTTTTTTTTGCAGCAGCAGCAGTAGTAAGGTTACATGCGGGCTATTAACAGCTTTTTAAAACTTGAATTATTCTTGTGCTTATTAATCTCCACTCTTTCATGACTAAATATTCTTTTAATATGGTAACAGATTTAATATTTTATTTAGAATTTTAAAACAAATATAAGTTTAGTCTATACCTTTCTTTTTGTGTAATCATCATTTTATTTTGCTATCAGTGATATATTTCCTTCATAGCAAGACTTTGGTAATTTGCCTTCTCTTTCACTATTCAAGAAGATTTTAAAAAGCATTAAAATCATCTGCTTTTTAATGGTCTGGCACAACTGTGAAACTCCCTGGATCTACTGCTTTTGGTTAGTGGGGGGAAATCTCACTGCTTTACAAATTTTTCTGTTTCTTTGATGCAATTCTACGTGTTCAGTTTTTCTCTTCCTACCAGGGCTAGATTTAGAAAATTATATTTTCCTAGAAAATAATCGATTTCATATAAATTCTCAAACATTTTAAGATAAAGTTTTGTAAACCTCTTATAATTCTCTTATGTTCTTTTATTTTGATTATGTTATTTTCTTATCATTTCTTATTTTAGGTTAATTTATTTTATTGGTGTTTTTGTAGAACCGTCTTTTGGATTTACATATTATTTCCACTGTATTTCAGTTTTCTTAATTTCCAACTTCTGATTTTTTTCTTTATAATTTCTTCTACTTATTTTCAGTTTATTTTGTCTATTCTTTTCTAATTTTTTCACATGGATGCTAAAAACATATACCTTTATTCTCTCGTTATTTATATGAGCACAGAGCTATGAATTTTTCATTATCTTTTTTAAAATAAAATGTTTCACCATGTTTTCAAGAATTTTTGTTTTGTTTGTTGTTTTAGTCCTTCTGATGCTTATAAAGATTTGTATATTGGCTCTACTATTTATCTTAACATTTATTTTTCATTGCTCTTAGATCTGTATCTGTTTAGACAACTTCTATTAGCTCCATTAAAATAAGCAATGAGATAAATGACAGTGCTTCCTTTTCTTACATGCTCCCCACCTTTTCTTCTAGCATTTAATTTTAAACAGAACATACCCTTTCTTACCATGTATCTTTGTAGTGTTAAATTTGCTACTACTTTGTCTATGTAATTTGTCAGGCTTGAATAATATTATTTGATTTCTACCCATAAAGATAAAGAATTAGCAAACTCCAGTTCACACTTTCTTTACATTCTTATTTGTCACCCTAATTCACACGTTTGTATTAAGTCTTTTTCTAGAGTTAAATATAAACAATGCTTGCATAAGTTCTTTTGACAGTTTCTCCAATTAAGTCTTGGTTGTCTTGGGCTTGTCCCTTGGTAGTTTCCCTAAGAAATTTATGGAAACCATACTCCCAAAGTTCCTGTCTTCAAAACCTTTTTCTATAGCTTTTATACTTGAAGTAAAGAATGGATTTATATTTAAACTTTAGTTCACTTTTTTATTTTAGAAATTAGTAGATATTGCTCCACTATCTGACATTGGTTATTATTGTAGAGAAGTTTGTGATCTGCCTGAATATTTTTTTCTCTTTATAAATGACCTGTTCTTTTTCTCTGATATACCGAAAAATTCTTTCTTTGTCTTTATAGTTTAGTTACTTTACTATGATATGTCTCTATAACGGGTCTTCAAAAAGTTCATGGAAAATGGGTATTATTTTTTAAATTATGCATGGATTGCAAAATTTTTTGCACCAAAATAAACTCATACTCACTTGTTATAACATGTTTGAATAAGATGTAGTTTCAGGCACAAACAAGGATAAGACATTAATTTGAAAAGAGCCCCTGTCACAGCAACATTCTGCTGAAACTGAAGCAAGAACAAACATCAAATTGATGGTGACACTTGGGTGGAAGAATGGGGAAATCATTGAGGCTTTATAAGAAATTTATGTAGACAATGCCCCAAAGAAATCATAAGTTTTATAAATGAATAACTCATTTTAAGAAGGGACAAAATGATGTTGAAGATAAAAACCACAGCAGTAGATCATCTACATTCATTTACAAGGACAAAATTTATCTTGTTTGCGCCCTAATTGAAGAGGATTGACTGCTGTTTCTTAACAGCAGAAACAAGAGCCAGCACCATAGACATCTCCACTGATTCAGCTTACACAATTCTGACTGAAAAATTACAGCTGAGCAAACTTTCTCTTCAATGGGTGCCAACACTGTTGTGCCCAGATAAGCTTCAGACCAGTCCAGAACTCTCAACGGAAATATCAAACAAGTGGGCTCAAGATCCTGAAGCACTGCCTTGAAGAATTGTAACAAAAGATGAAATAATACAATTCTGAAGACAGAGCATAATCAAAGCAATGGCCACCAAGAGGTGGAAGTGGTCTGGTCAAAGCAGAAGCAGACCGGTCAAGAGCAGAAGTCACAGCAGCAGTTTTTTGGGATGCTCAGGCATTTTGCTTGTTGAGCTTCTGGAGGGCCAAAGAACAATAACTTCTGCTTATTATGAGAATGTTTTGAGAAATTTAGAAAAGTTTTAACAGAAAAATGCCTGGTAAAACTTCACCAGAGAGTCCCTTCCCACCATAAGAATGCTCCTGCTCATTCCTCTCACCAAACAAGGGCAATACAGTGAGAGTTTCGATGGGAAATCATTAGGCATCTACCTTACAGTCCTTATTCAGCTCCTTCTCACTTGTTTTGTTTCCTAATCTTAAAAATTCTCTAAAGGACACCCATTTTTCTTCAGTTAATAATGTAAAAAAGACTACATTGACATGGTTAAATTCCCACGGCCCTCACTTTTTTAGGGATGGACTAAACGTCTGGTAATAGAGCTTACAAAAGTGTTTTGAACTTGATGGACTTTATGTTGAGAAATAAAGTTTATATTTCTTATTTTTATCTTTTAATTCCATTTTCCCAATTAACTTTTGAAGTTCCCTTGTATGTTGACTCTTTTTGGTCAATTATTTCAGACATGTGTTTGCCTTTTTAATATCTAAATTAAAGTTTACTTTTCTTTTGGAAAGGTCATCTTGTACTTATATAATTATTTGTTCTGCTCCATGCATTAATTTATTCTTTGGTGAGTCTTCTTCAGGGTTGTCTTTTGCCTGTCTTCTAAATCTATCATTTTCTTTCTAATTCTTTAAATTTTTTTTAGTTTAATTCATTATTTTGATCTTCTCATTTCTATTGTCTATATTCCTTACTGTATTTTGTGCAATACCTTGAGATATTGCACAAAATACAGTAAGGAATATAGGTAATAGATAAATCTTGTGTTATTACACAAGATATTGTTTAAAACAACTCTCCTTGTGTTCCTTCCTATTTCATCTTCATTTTCCTATGATAGTTTTAGTTTTCCTTCTATTTCTTTCCTGACTTTTTTCTTTTTTTCCCCTATTTTATAGCCCTCTTTCTTAGAGGCAATTGCTTTATTAGGTATTATTTAGTTCATGATAAAATGGTTGGTCAGAATTCTTATCGGATCTCTTATCTTACTAGTAACATATGTACCAGTGCATTCCTTATCTTGTAGATTTAACTGAACTCTCCTACCTTATTGCTTATAGTATCTTTGTATAACGCTGCTGCCAGCTTTTCTTCATCATTGTTCTTGGAATAAGTTGCACTTTCCTAGACCAGCTTTTTGCAAGAAGTTGTATATTTTGCTGTGTTATCTGATGTTTGCCACCATTGTTCCCACTTACTCTTTGCTTATCTCCCCAGGTTTATTTTACTTTATTATTGGGCTTTTTTGAAGATTGCATCTGCTTTGGGTGGCCCTTATGTGTCTTGTTTTTCATTCTACCTATTATATCTTCCTTATCATGTTGCCAAAAGTTGAGTTTAGGTCAAGACCCACTGTTTCTGTTGAATAATATCCCAGAGGAAAATAGTTAAATTGCTGTCTAATGTTTCTATATACAAGGGTACTTCAAAAAGTTCACGGAAAAACAGAATTGAAAGATAATACAAATCTTTTCATGTTCTTTTTGAAACACCCTAGTACATATTGTGAAGCTCTTCCTCATATTTGTTATTTGCAATGGAATTTTGAAAAAAGAATAAACCCTTGACATTGTCTTGAAAATGATGCATGCAAGTCTCCATTCATGACAGCATGCAAATAACCTAGAAGTGTAATATTAATCTTACCTAGTTCATTAAAACACGTAAACACAAACTTGTTTCTTTTACATGCATCTCTTCAACATATATACTCATACTCAAATACATGATCTCTGTTAAATACAGACACTTTTTCTTCAAAAAGTTTTAAAAACCAGTAATTTATATAATTTTTTTCTCCTCAAATCTATTCAATTCTCTCATCTTCCCTAGCCAACATGAAAAGCATTCTGCATTTACAAGCCAATATAATAAAGGCTGCTGTGGTATTACATTACATTAGGAATGATTGTTCCATTCCCTAGGAGAAAGTTGTCACCAGGGAAGATAAATGTGTTTTCTAGATCTCTTCTTGGGCATTAATGGACTCCATAGAGAGTCAAAAAATATCTTGAAGGCACCCATCATGAATATGGTAACAAATGACCATCTTAAGTGGTACAAGAAATTCTCAAATTAGATATAGCCACTTAAAATTCAGCCAAAAATTTTTCTGATATTTAAGACAGGAAATTACTATCTGCTTCTGTCAATGTTAGATAAAGTGGGTGAGCAGAAACATTAATCTCAAAGGCCACTGAATAAGTTGCTTAATTATTCTCTTAGATTGGTGAATCCTGAGAGCGAAAAACACTGCAACTATAAAAGGTGAGTCATTTCTGAGTAGGCCCTAAGCATTCTTACCAAAATTGGTATTGCTACCTTCACCTCCCGTGGTCTGTGAACAGACAGGACAGCACTCCCCAGGGGGAGTTATAGGGTCAGCACAGTCGAGCACATCCTGGCACTCTATCTTGTCGCAAAGAATGGCTCCATTGTCACAGACACAGATCTGGCAAGGGGCGGGTTTCCAAATGTCCCTGTTTAAGTACATCTGGCCGTTCTGAGTGCAGGCTATTTCTTCACCATATCCTTCTAAAATAAGAAAAAAAAAAGAGGTTAGTAATCTGAAATTTTGGAATTTGGGAAATATTTAAGAAGGTGAGTCATCCTGTGAATTCTAAAAAATTCTGTACTAAGAAGTAATCTCCTAAGGAGATAAAACACAAATGAACTTATTTTATTTAGTATTTACATACAAACTAATATATAATTCACATGAAATGCTTATAATATTTACATCCTCGCATGATAGGGGAAGGGAAAAAAAATTGATCCCAACTAGGTATATATTTTAAGCAGAGCTTTCTTTCTATAAGATTTTACTTTTGAAGGTATGAATGATCAAATATAGATCAGTAAAAAAAGATAAAAATAAACATTTGAAAAAGGGGAAAAGAAGAACAGTTCAAAAGAGAATATATAATTTTAGTGTTTGGTGAACTCTCTATGACTTTCAACTCACTAGAAACTTTAGATTAGTAAATATCACAACAGGAGATAACACGTGTTCGTGTACAATGGAGAAAAACTTAAAAAAAATATTTTTAAACAAAAAGTAAAAAAAAAAATGCCATCTAGTGAAATAGATTTCCATTAGCCATCCTAAACTAAAGGTGCTTAGTAAACTGCAACAGAAACACAAAATATATACATGTAATAAGTTAATTGTCTTTTCATCAAAATTAATTAAGGAAAGCCATAACCAAAACAATATAGTCAATTAATATATAATATCTGCCAAATACTTGTTTATATTAAGATAAAAATTTAAGGAAGATTGGAAAGATGCATGTGCACACAGTAATAGCAGTTCTATTATACATTTACTACCAAGTAAACACATATATTACATCTTTAACTTTGTGATTTTATAAGAAACAAAACTAACATTTTAAAACATAATGTGAATTAAATCACCCTTGCTTAAATCCTTCAGGAGCTTCCCAACTATCTAAATTCAGAACTGCTTTATGAAGGCTGAAGGCCTCCCTCCCAGTCCTCCCATGACTTGGTCGTTTTGCTGACACAACCTCTGCCTCCTTCCTCCCAGGCTCTCATGGCTTGCTTAATGGTCACTTCCTCCAAAAAATTCTTTTCTGACCACCCTATATAAATTAGACTTCATTTACCTAATTGATATGATTTTAAAACCTCTTTAAAGAACTTTTTCATTCAGCTATTCATTCATTCACCATGTGCTATATACAAGGAAATTGAAGAGTTACTAAAATGTGAGGCAAAAGTCACTGCCCTCATGAAATTTATTACAATTAGTATTAATTTATTCATTTTTATTTGTTTTTTTTCTTATCTTCTTCACTAGACAGTAAGTCCATGAAGGTAAGGACAAGGTGTGTCTTGTTCATATATTTCTAATGCTTAACACCATACTGTTCATAGAGCTGCCTGCCATTCAATAAATGCTTGTCAAACGCAAAGCTATGAATTAATTAACTAATTAATCAAAATTATGGTTCAATAACTTAATTGCACAGCATTAACTTTTTACTTTGTAAAAATAAAAACTTAAAAAATGTGTTTGTAATCAGCTTATGAAAGATTATCGTTTGGCATATAAATATACTCAAATGATAACGCAGAACTGCAGATGAAAGTGATTTCAGTTTAGGATAAAGATATCAACCCAAGAATCTACCTTACACAATTTTTATTTGTCAATGATACTTCAATAAAGCTGGCAAAGTAACAGTTTTCTCACTGTTCTATGAAATACCTTGTTTCACATATTTAGTCTTTCATCACAGATATTTGGCAAACGGATAATTGCTTTCAGAGCATAATAACACATTCTCATGATCTGTGTGCTGTTTTATAAGAGCACAAAGTTTATCATCTGTTTTATCTTCATCAGAAGACTTTTATCACATAATACATAGCTGACAAACAAAACAATATTAGTTGTGTTTACATGGTGCTATTACAGGCATTTAAAACCAAGGAGAAAATAGAATTCATGTTTTAATATGCTTTTATGCAAGACTATTTTGAAAAATAACAAATGTATGTATCCAATAATCAGTGTGACTAGATGAAAAATCAGTTTAAAGCAATGTAGTTCCATGCTGAAGATTTCCAAAAACACAACCTGTATTAAAATGGGCTTACATCCATACTCCACGGAACAATTCCATTAAGTAAATAAATTAAAAATAACTTTATTCATTAAGTTTTATGATTGAGAAGGAAATATCCAATCACAGCTATTAAATACCATTGCCTGATAATGAGATAAACCATAAATTCAATTAGCTTGTTTCTCTCTTTCTATACCCTGGGGATGGTAACGTTCAAATGTACTTACTGAGGGTTAAATGGATGTGTGCCTAGTACCAAATGTGCAAGACAATGAAAGCATATGTGTTCTGTCCTCCAAAATATACATTATCATTGTGGAATATCATGTATATGTACATATATATATGATATATGTCATATATATTACAACATTATATACATGTTATATTTATATAACATTGGGGAGTGCTATATTTGTTTACACAATAAATAAATATAGTTAATTAACTATGTAAAGTACTATATCATATGTTATATAATATTAATGTAGTATTATAATACAATATATGTTATTGTGGGATATATGTTATATTATATGTGTGTATATATCACTGATAAAATAATTAGGTATTTGCAAGTAGATCGAGAATATGAAAAACAAACAAAATCACTATGACATGCAATAATGTTGTCAATTAAATATCAAAGGAGACTTATACTGTTCTCTGTAGCTCCTTCAGGGATGGAATAAAAAGGCAGTCTTGTGTTAACATATAGAAGGGCAGTTTTTTCCTGAAAGTTTAAAATATGACCTCAATCCAAGGGGCAACAAAGTAGGCCATTGCATTACTTTCTTTAAATGAAAATGTTAAAAGTTAGTTTTATACTCTGAGTCATCACTGGTCCATTTCCCCTGAGAATTTATAATTAAATTTAAGATGATGTGGAAAGTTCATTGGAATGCTTTTAAATGGCAAGGAGATGAAAAACCACATTTGCTGCTAAACGCCGCCTCTTCACCCACACAAGTGTCTATACACATCATAGAGGGTTCGAAGACGTAGTGAACCCATTGTTCATGCCTGAATGAAAGACACGTACAAGGAAACAGTAGGCAGAAAATACAGGGTGTCCTGCAGTTTTCATGTTTCTACATGGTAGTTGTACACCATATGATTAGATTGTCCTTCTGTTTTCTATATAGATGTTTACGTAAATGAAAAGAAAAGTTAAATAAAAAGCAAACTTGTAACTAATTTGTTGAAAAACTTTGCAGTGAAGATGTCATGACACAATTATTTTATGAATAAAAATATAATTTAAAAAACTAAAATTTTCAAATGACATTCTGAGAAATGTAATACTGTTCTCCTGATTCCTCTACCCAAATCATAAGTTAACCCAAGCTGACAACTAAGGCCGAGGACTAAGACCCAGAACTTAAAAAAATGATGTCTTAAAGTACTTGAGTAAACAAGTATGTTCTAAACAATCTGAAAAAGAACTTCAAAACCACAATTTTACAGTTCTTGTATTTTTTGCTATTTATGTTTCTTTAATATTCGGAAAATTGAGTAGGACTGATAGAAATCTCATAGTATTTTTTGTCACTCTTTTATAATTTCCATGGTGTCATAACTTCCAAAATGTTTATCTTCCAAGCTACAGGATTCTTTTACTGTTACCAAATGTTCCAACAAATTGAATCCATTGTGAAGTCATTCCCACAAAAATCCTGGCACTGATATCACAGAGAGAAAAGATGGATTTTATCTGACCACATTTTATTTGAAATCAACTCAATTCTTCTATGCTTCTCACGTATCCTCTTAAGTTCGTTTTCTCATAAATCTTATGCGCTTTTAAATTTACTTGTAAGAATTCGGTTCTTAATCACTAGATGGCAGAGCAAATCCACCATCTTATTATAATAGACAATTTAGAAACTGAGTTGTCAGAACTGTTGCTTGCAAACTATGGCCCACGCCCTCCCCATTCCTTCATATAATCATTGTGCAAAAAAAGACTTCATAGAAAAAAGTCATGTTGAAACTTTCTGACTGGCAAAGAGAGATGTGGTTCTATTTGTGTAATAAATTTGGGGGGTCTACTTAAAGATGTTAAAAAAATGCATGAAATAAAAGTCCCTAAAACTATGCTGGATATTCTACAGCTGTTAACTAAAGTTTCTCCTTTCCAAAATAATGTAGAGTGCTTTTGAGCTACAAAAATTTTTAATTTCTTTTTCAATTAAGTGTTTATTCAGATGATTTTCCCCCACTGTACTGTGAGCTCCTCAAAAGCCATAACTGTGTTCATCTCAGTAACCTTCACACCTAATGTCGCATAATGAGCACATAATTGAGAAACATTTGTAGTACGGATGAATGCATACGTGAATGAAGGAACAAACTAGTTCAATGATGTGCATGTTAAAGAAGATAGCATATTTCATCCTTCCCTAGTTTTCCCAGGGAGAATGTGCACTTCAGACCCCTATTTTCAATGAAAGGGAAATGGGTCACTGGTGGTTTTTGTCAGGTGTGTCCCTGATGTCCAGACCTCTTTGTGGCCAGCAAGAAAGAAGATTGTGTTAGTCACCAAAGCTCATATTTTAGAACAATTTTCGGAGAGCTACAGCAACCCTTCATTCAGTCTTCCTGACCCAGCTGACGTAGGTCCTTTCTGAGGTTCTGAAGGTTGGGGCAACATTATTTAAAGTTTCTCTGGCTGTAAACACCCTTGAAGGACTATAGTCATGGCACTGTCAGCTGGTGCTTTCATGCAGTGGGCAGACAATGACTTGTGGGACAAAGGAAGTGGCAACAAAGTAGCCCCATGTGTCCCTCTGGACGAAACCACAGATACTGCCTTTAGCAATGCACAGCACAGCTCTGGCTGCTAGACTGGGTTCCAGAGACTCTTTCAAAGAAATCCCTTCCTTCCTCTGCTCTTCGGCGCTGATTATTACCATAAGGGAAAGACAGAAAGGAAGG